CTTTTTCATTTTAGTCTCGGCACACAAACCCTTTGTATCTAGGCTCACTCAGATATGGTTGTCCTCTTGGGTAGGTCTGTTGGTTTTGACATTCCATAGAGGTATTTCTGATAAGCACTCAGTCCCTCCTAAAATATTGCATTATGCACATATGATCACAATGAATGATCAAAAATATTATTTCTTTAAAGCACAATGATCAGATAAAAGTTGATCAAATAACTTGGCTTTAAGCACGATCAATAAAGAATGATACGACAATTCGATTATTTGATATGTACGAGAGAAATGAATGAAGATCTGTAAGAACAAGTTTACAGATTCTGATATTAAAAAAAATGAATGAATGTGTATCAGTTCAAAGAAAAAAAAATATCAGAAAAACAATGTTGAATACAAACGAGTGTATTATCACTGAAAATGATTTTCGTATAAGAGACGTGATAATAACAGTTTGAAGAATAGCTGAAACAGGTATTGGAATTATATACAATGAGAATTTACGCAAGTAAAAACTCAGGAAATACCTGTTCAGAAAATGTACTCGTTTTCAAAAAAAATTCCATTTTTAAAAAACATTTATTTAAAAGTTCTAGAGTCTCCCCCTAGAAAACAGATTTAAGTAATGAATCTTTTAAGCTCAAAAATTAAAAAGAAAACATTTTAAGCGCGGGTTCTAAACTGAGTGTTTAGAAGCCTTAAAATTTAAGCTCGGGTCCTAAACTGGGTGTTTAGAAACCTTAAAATTTAAGCTCGGGTCCTAAACTGGGTGTTTAGAAACCTTTGTTGGAATAATTCACAACTCCCCCTGCATCGGTGTATCATTGGAATGATATTCTGATCAACATAAACTTGACACACCTGCAAAACCAAATCAAGTAGATTTTGGTACCCAAACGAACTTGGGTCCTAATATGTTAGTATTTGGTTGGGGTATGTTGTAACTTCCAAACCATTTCTTTCGATAAGATGTATTCTGTTCAGCACTATAAACAGGATGGCCAGAATTAAAATATGAATCATATGAGTAACTGTGACCATACCTGTTTTTACCTTTCCAGTTATTCTGATAACTGTTATCTCCATGCCACCTGTTGAACCTTTTGTTATTTACAAAATTATTTGTTCTGCATGTTGAGCACAAAATCCTTCTCTTGCTAAGATTAATCAAATCATTAGTAGACTTCTCAATGCAAGGAAGATTGTTAGTACCAACAGGTGTATGAGATAAAACAGAATCAGACTTATTAACCCATATGCTTTTAATCTTTGAAGGATAATTGGGTGAACTAATGACATACCCTTGATAGTACTGATTAGAACGAGAATAGTTCTTAGAAACATTAGATTTAGGACTGCTTGAATAACTGTTCGAATAGGAACAATTATAAAAGCTGGTTTTACACTGAGAAGGAGAACTAGTTGAACTTTGAGCACACGAAAAGTCTTTGACTTTTTGTAAAAGCTGGTCTCGTTCTACAGTAACTAAATCATATTTAATTTTCAATTCAGTTCTCATGTTCAATTCAGTTTCAAGGTCTGTCTTTAGATCAGACAATTTCTTTGAAGTATCCAGGAGTTTACCTTCTAACTCCTTCTGAAGCATTTCAAACTGTTTCTTCTGATTTAGCAACTCTCTCCTCTCTTCATCTGAGCTGCTCTTGTCATTCTTCGAAGCTATGTCAAGCCACTTCCTCTTCTCAGTAAGCTCTTTTGCAATTGATGTATACTTCTTTGAAGTATTTCTTTTCTCTATAGCAAATTGCTTTTTCTCTTCGTCTAAAGCCTTTCGCTTTAGATCAATGCTTTCAGATAGTTTCTGGAGCTGGCTCTGACAGTCTTCGGAGATGTCTGTCTTTTCTTTAGCATTCTTTTCTCTTTCCAAAATGATAAGCTGCTCAAAATCCGAGATTTGCTTTAGAAGCATCTTGGCATTTAGCTCGAGAGAGTTAATCTTCTTCTCGTAAGATTCTCGTTCAGCTCCACTTTCTTTCAACTTCCATAATCCTCTTCTTTTCTATTTTCATCTCTTTCCTTTCATCACTTAAAACCTTTTCAGTTTGTAAAACCTTTTCTTTCTCTATCTCCAGTAAATTCCTTACATCAAACAATTCACTTTCCGATTTATGTACTATAATTGTTAAATCCGCAATATGTTTATTTAACCTAACTGTCTCTTCTGGATCAGCACAGGTTTTCATCAGTTCATTCAGCTTTTCTTGCAAAACTCTCTTTTCTTCTTTCTCTCTCTCTCAAGAAGGCGATTCAGATGATTTGACCATGATATACTCTTGCTAAAACTAGAATCTACTTGAGCATACTTTTCTTTAAGCTCACGATATTCTTTAGTATAAAAAACTGCCATTTAAAAAAAATTGATCAGTTAAGGATCTATGCAGTTCAAAGTTTGAATTTGAAAGATCAGTTTACAAAAATATGTCTGATAAAATATAAACTGGAATATACACACACTCAACACTTAGGCAAATAAGCACAAACACACTTGTCCGGATTAGAAATTCGCACAATTTGTCCAGTTTAGAAGTCCGACTAAAAAGATAGACAATAAGAACAAGTTATCCGGATTATGAAGCCGGGCAACACACGAACATAAACCGCACAAAGATAAACCGTGCAAAGTGTAAAGACACAAAATGCACAAGTATAAACCGCACAAATCTAAATCAATCACAAAGATAAACCGGTCAACAAGTCAAACTTATTAAACCGATCAAAAGTCAAAAATATTAAACCGATCAAGACTAAAAATATTAAATCGATCAATAAAAGTCAAACACCGTTCAAGAAACAAATACCAAGATACGATTTTAGGATAAACCGCTTACTTACCAAACGGATTCCTAAACCGCACACTTACCTCACGATTGGTTAAACCGGTCAAAATCCGATCAAGGTATTAAATCTTTACCAGCCGGATACCTTTAAACCGCTTACCAAGTATTATCCGGTTTAATACTAATCCGCACAAGCTATGTCCAGTATACTAGCTGGATTAGTTAATCGTTCAAGCAAACTTTCCAAGTGTTGTCCGGTTTTACCTATATCCAAAAACAACTAACACCACACGAATTGTTATACCGCACAAGTCTTATCCGAATAAAATTCAACCAAAAACATAAAATTTCACACTTTTTCCAAAAAAATGGATCAAAACATGAAAAATATGAGTTTTTATAAACTTTTTCCAGAAAACCTAAAACTCGATTTTGGTCATTTTCAGTATCAAAACTTGTGAAAATCACAAAATGGTGTGAATCAAAGTTGTTTAGAATGCAAAACCGAAACTAGCGATGTAAACCTTGATCAATAACACCCAAAAATAAGCAATTTATGACCCAAAAACCAATCCGGTAAAAAAAATCTCAAGAACAGTCAAGAACAATGAAGAACAATGATGAATCTGATCGAAAAAATATCAAAAAAATTCGTGCAAAAGTGTGTAAAATGGATATCTTCAAATCCAAACTGCTACAGCTTGCTCTGATACCAATTGTGAGGTCGAAATCACTGATCAATCTTCATTTAGCTTCATAACAATCATGGCAGAATCTTGATATTGCATTAAGAACATCAAGAACATTGAGAGAGAAAAAGTCAATCTTCTAAGCTTTGGTCAAACTCTCTATTATGCACGTAATCTTACAATGAATTTCCTCTCACACTAATTACAAAGACTTAACTATATTTATATGGTGAAACATACAAAGACAAGATCAAAGTCAAACCTATTAGAAAAGTCAAACACGCTGACTTTTTTCAAATATAGACTATTTATAAACTTTCAAGACGAATACAATTAATATTGATTTCTCAGTCCTAACACTATGTGATGTGAAAAAATATATCTTCACCTATATGATATGATAAATTTTATCATAATGTGATAAATGAGTTGTTGGACTATTTGATGCGATAATTGGATAATATATTATCATTTTGATGCGACAAAGAGGTTTGTGTTATTAAAATGTTGTATATTTGTTACTAATACAAATATGAGTTTATAAATGTGCTTTGTGATTATTCACCCTGTAATAGCATCAAAGTGATTTCTCACTAGACCTCAAGATCTAACCCTCATTTTGATGTTTTGTAAAAATGTTCATTACAGGTAGGACTCAACTAGAGAATAAGGGAAAGGGGAAATTGTGAAGAATTATGTTTTGTCTGCTTGGGATGTTAGGATAACATATTATCTGTTGTTTTTTAATACATGTTATGTATACAAGTTTTGTATAGAAATTTGATGGAAAATTTTGGTAGCTACTTTGTAATGTAGTTTTTGTAGGAAAGATGGGACCAGTTGTGTAAATCATATTTCATGACATATATAAATATATATTTATATGGAAATGTGATCTTGGGGTGTTACATAATTGTCGTTGTGAAATATCTTGCTAAGTATTATTTGTCTTTTAGAGGATCAAATGAGAAGTTGTATCAACATAGCAATGATAATTTTTGGGGGTTAATTGAAATGATTGGAGAATCTGATGATTAAAAACATTTATTGAAGATTTTTTTTTTTTTAATGATTAAAAACATTTATTTAAGATTTTTTTTGTACATATAGAGGACCCAAAATTTAAAAATTGCACATGGCCCAAAAAATGTCAGAAACGGACCCGGGTGTGGATGTAGGCAATCTTGTTGGACCATGTAAATCTCTGATACATTGTCTCTACTCTTCATTTACTTTGATTGTTTGCCATTGTCATTACTTGTTTTCTGTTTGAGTACATTTGAGAAATCGGTTATTTGGTCTTTTGGTTTCTTCTACTCTATTTCTTCTACTGAGAAACAATTGGTATCAGAGTCTAATATCATATTTGGGTGGTAGATTTCAAATTTGAAGTGTTTGGGTGGTATATGGTATAGTGCACACCAGGTGTTCGATAAAAAGTATTAAGAGTGGCAAATTCACAAACAAGTAGGTAAATGACATCTACAAGAGAAACAGTCAAAGGTAGGAAGTATGAGTTAAAGAAGTTCAACGGGAAAAATGATTGTTCCCGTTGAAGGATGTAAATGAAAAATTTGCTAATCTCACAAAAGTTACACAAGGTTTTGGTGGGTAAGGTAAAGAAGTACAAAGACATGTCCGATAAAGATTAAAATGAGCTAGATCTTGAAGCACGAGAATCGATCAATTTATGCCTTGAAAAGGATGTTGCTTTCTTGGTTGATAATGAGGAATCGACGACTGCAGTGTGGCAAAAGTTGAAGGCAAATTTCACGACGGAAACTCTAACGAATAGGATCTATTTGAAGTCCAAACTGTTTACTTGCAAAATATATGAAGGTTCTCCAATCATTGGAACACATTAGTAAATTTGATAGGTGTATATCAAGTTTAAATGACATAGATGTGAAGGTAGACGATGAAGATCTAAGAGTAAATTGTGTTTTTCGTCCCTATGGTTTGTAAAAATTACAGATTTCATCTATGTGGTTCTAAAACTGCGGTTTCCGTCCCTCTAGTTTGCAATTCATTTGTATTTTCATCCCTGAGGCTAACCATTTTTTTAAGGTATGAAGTATTAAAATAGAAATGAACTGCAAACAATAGAAACGAAAAAAGCAATAAAGTTTAAATCTTTTATGAACGAGAATGAAAATTGTAATTTTAAAATCATAGGCACAAAAATAGAAATTTTCAACAAACCATAGGGACTGAAAACATAATTTACTCTACTCAAAAGATTATTACATTTTTAGACTAAATCCCAGATCTAAACATGTGACCAAAAAATAATATCGTACATCATAACTATTTAAATAAAATTATTGATTTTCAAATGAAATAAAGTAATATAAATTCGTCGAGCAGCGAAGACGGATAACATGCAGACGTTGAAGATCAGGGTTCAAACCTCACCAAAAGTGAAGAGGGTGTGTGAGTTTATTTGTTGCATTTGCCGTATATAAATATTTTATATTTCAATAAATAAATAAATTAATAAAATATCTACACACATGGTTACAAAAATCCCTCATTCATGAATGACATTTCTTTACAGATACCCTTTTTGAGTAGCTCTACTGCTTAGATTTTTTGGGTTTACTTCTCAATAGTCGTCAATTCGAAACCTGTTATGGCCACCGAAGATCCTATTGATTAATTTCAGGACCCGATGAGATCAATCGAGTTACACACAAATTGGTTTGAACACCCACAATTAAAAAAATACTTAAAAATTCAATTTCTTTTTAATGTCTAATTTTGATTTTCATCTCCACTTTTTGTAATTTATTTCTATTTTAATCTTTAAGAACAAAACACTGCTTTTAAGTATGAAGATTAAAATATAAATGAAATGTAAATCATAAGAACGAAAAGAACAATAAAGTTCAAATGTTAAGGACGAAAAAGGTAACAAATTACAAACATAGAGATAAAAATTGTAAATTTCAAAACCATAAAAACGAAAATAAAAAAAATTGACAAACCATAAGAACTAAAAACGCAATTTACTCATTTTTTATATTTATGCTTCGATCAAACCATCTTATGGGTTGTTTCTTTTGTTGCTTAAGGGCTTATTCATTTGACCTTTGTTTTATACCTATTTTTTCTTTTTCTTTTTATTATACTGGATATCCAACCCGCTATGCGAACCAACTAATCACAGAACGACCACCTGCTTTGCGGATAGCCCGGAGTCACCACATTTAAACCTCCATGGCCACAAGGGAATTTTTATTCCTCCTTGGATTTGAACCTAAGACCTGCTGGTACTTTTGACCTTTGGAGCCAAGCTCAAACCAATCAGGCACCATCCTTGTATCTGAACTAAACAAGCCACCATGTATTTGTCATCCATAATGAATCATTTACTTCACAAAGTTCTTAATAAAAAAACAATCAGACAACCCATTAATGTTATCAAATTTCATTATGGCACAACAAAAGAGTAAACCATCATAAGCACAAATGCACATTACACACATGTACCTATTCAGTACCTTGCTCCAAATAGCTCATCAGTTTAAATCCCCTCAGCCAGTAAAAGGTTTGCCTTATTAATCTCAGGGTCCCACAGGATTAGTCGAGATATATGCAAACTGTACCGAACGCCAATGTTTATCAAAACATTATGCATTATGTATCATGGGACATACGGTGTTCTACTGGTGAAGAAATCCCATTTTTCATATATATAAGTATATAACAAAAAGATTGCTCAATGCAATTCTAGCAGTTGAATGCCTTGTCTAAACATCGGCGTTAACGACACCAACTAATGCATCTCTCCATACTGTTGAACGAAACCAAAAACGACGAGAATTGTAGAAACATGCCAATAATGGAATCAGTTACCAAGTAGGGATGTCAAAAGTGCCAAAACAGCTATCACAATCATAATGTTCAGAAAATAGTTAGATTGCAGAGGCTTATTGGGGCTTCCACCAACAGCTTCGTACTCTGAACGAATCTTCTGTTTCATAGCAGCTGAAAGCTCCCTCTGCAAATTCAAATAAGCAAATGCTCATCGAACTTACCATCTCCGTTAATAAGACTCCCAACTTTTATTTGATCATAGCTTCATTCTTGCATTATTTTAAAGATATGGCTTAAGAAAACAAGATAGTTTCTTGGGTTTTTATTCCTGCACCAACCATCAAACACAAGAAATCTGAACAATGTGTAAAAACAAATGTTTCTCTAGCTTAATTTTGCATGAAGATGCAATTCATCTAATAACTACTGGCCCGTAGATGGGTTATTTAGGAGAATAATTTTCTGACGTTTTCTTTTTAAATGCACGACATTCTAACAGATTTTGAGGCATTCTTGTGTTAGGAACAAGCATTTTTCTGTTAGGCAGAGGCGTTTTCTAAATGTATTAGCAGGTGATGCATTTAAAAACAAACCTGTTATTAAGGTTATTCTCCTAAAATAACTCCTGAAAAAGACTTCAAAAATAAAAATAAAAGGTTCATCATAAAACCTTTCCCGATGAATACTTGGCCGCTACAAACTTCTCAGGGACTGCTGCTGCTGCAGGTTCATCATCAATTGAAATTCCCTGACCAGTATATCCGGAGAACATGTCAGGTAAGCGTTCAAAATTTATTGTCGAATGGTGGGTTTCATAAAGGAGTTCTTTTATATCCCAAACATGGATGCCATTATTGTTAAGACATCATAATCAACATGTTTTAAAAGAAACATTAAGCGGAATTAAGGGGATGTCTAAGCGGATGCATAGGTAGTTTATTTCCACATCAAAATGTGACTTCGTAGATTATGTAGAACACGAGTAACTAAATTTTTTATAAAACTACTGTTCTACTTGACCAATTTCACTATTTCATCGATACAAGTATAGAGAAAGAAATGAAAAGATAACCAATAAATTGAGAAAAATCATTAATGAATGCAAGTAAAAAAAAAGCAACTAGTTCCCCCTTAATTTTGTGAAACACTTGATCAAAAAATCAGTTGCTAATCGAAGCAATAGGGGACGCGAAATGCCCATGACAAACTAATTGCCCCCCACTAATCAAAAAGGTTGTGGCCAAGGATCAGCGGGCTGTGCAAATATGCTCATATTATGTGCTTCCTTTACTTTTCTTTATCGATTTTAAGTTCATCAACGGACTGCTAACTCTGCATAGCTTAATCATGTATTAGTAATACTCTAGAACTAGATTGAGTATCACTCTTACCTCTAGAAATAAGCTATGTTGTTATTGTTTAGCTGTTTTCAATGAAATCCGTGAGAATTCAATCATGCAAATTTTCTAAGACTCTGAGAAGCATTCCATTTGTAACCCGTAACACATTTAACAATTAATAATACAAGTAAAGAACTGAATTTGACAAACCTGGATGGGATCAAACTTAGCTCCAAGATTGCTGAGTTTGGCGTGTGCTTCAGCATAGTCATCGAAAAATGCTTTTTCGTCTTCCGCATACTTATCAGCAAATACCTGAAAGTAAGTTGTTTCTTCATAAATAAAAGTGAAATTCATCAAACAGTAGCTGAATTCCAACCTAGTTTTGTTTCACCTTAAACGATGGATCCTCAAAAAGGGCAGCATCTGTAGGCAATACCAGTAGATCCGCATCTCTCCGTTCTTTGATATCCTGTATAATTCATTGGTATTGACTATTCAACTTAAAAACTGCAACTAGTAGATGCTCCATGTAAATAAACGATAGAAAAAAGGGAAACAACAGCCAATAAACCTTGAAGTAGGAATTATCAAACTGTAGCCACTTTATTGTCCAAGACTGTCCCCCTGGAGCTCCAGGCCCTTCTTTCTGTCACAGATTCATCATTTAACTCAATCATACAAAGCTTAAAAAAAGAAAGTGATCAAAGTATATCCCCATTGTAAAAACAAGCTCTGCCCCTCACCATGTCTGTGTGTTTTGTGTGTGTGTTTCTCTCTATATCTCTATATCACACAACATAACAAACACATACTTGCAAACAAGTGTGTATATAGTAGGTACGTGTGTATATATTAACATGGATATGCATGTGTATATTCCATATACGTACAGACATCTATGTGCATACATATACATAAATGTGCATACATATACAAAAACATACATACATACATGCATACACACACAAATATATATATATATATATATACACACACGTGTGTGTTCGTGTGGATATGTATATCAGTATATGTGTGTATGTATATATGTATATATGTATTAGACACACATACATAAATGTGTGTGTCTCTGTGATATTGGAATGAAGAGTGAAAGCAAAACAAAAAAAATTATGGCAATATTTACTTAACGAAGTTTGATCTACTTCTCGAATTTCTAGATCCATTGTTTAACCGAATTAAATAATAAACCAGATTGCTGATAAGCTTACATATCTTTCATATGTAAAAGCTTCAAATGCACAGAATGAATTTCTACAGCAGTATATAACTAATCAAGTTTGCTAATCAGAAATATCTGCAAGTAGAGATGCATACAGAAATCAGTTATTGTGATTCTAACTGACTTGTTACAATGAATTATATTTGTTTATATGAAGAGAAGTCCATTGCCCACGTGAGAACTTCACCACAACGCTGTTTGTTTAGCATTGGACACTAGTTTCAAAGAAGCTACCGATACTGACAAGATTTTGTTGTATGCATTCAATATTTACTGCTTCCTACCGTATATTTGGTCTCTGGCTTGCCCCAGCCACTGCGTTCTGGTCTGGACCTCCCCAAAGTGTGGGCACCAGATAATGCAACAATATCCTGCAGAGCCAAATTATAAAATTCATATTCCGATTACAAGAGTCGTTCTACATATAGAGTCAGAGATGTAAACCTTATCAGTCAATCCCATCCTGTAGAAGACTTCACGCAAATGCGCAGCCGGTGAAGGAGGACCAGCATCTAATCATGAAATACAAATTTCAGAAAATGCAAAACCCATATATATGTGTGTGTGTGTACATGATCAATACACTCTAGATTGCTTGTATTACGTTGAAGGAACATGCAATTCCCTGTTAAATGTAGTAGTATTTATGTGGCGAGTCCTATGTGATGTTTAGTAGGATTCTCCTGTAAGCAAGATTATTATATTACAACCCTTATATTCAGATTTATATCGGAACTACGACTCTAGAGCCAAGAACCCTACTTACTACCCTAGCATTTACTTTCTGCGACTCTAGAACCAATACCCTAGGCCCTCTAAACACAACCACTGCCTTCAATTACCTCACTGATAAGCAGCACTACATTCACCTTCCTCTAAACAGTACGCCACTGCAGTTGACTGCTTCCTAGGCCTCACAAAGCAAAGTGCTACAGACCTAGGCTCACCACCAGAAGGCAGAAGGGATTGATACCCTTACTGATGCCCTCTCAGTCGGTCAGAACTGCTATTCAAAGAGAGAATTCAGACAACCACAATTTCCTATTTTCTTGCGGCAATCAACTCTATTATGGTAGTCTAATGTGCTCTAAGGATTAACAGAAAATAAAGTAACCCGTTGACTGCGAAATTTAGATCCCAACTCTCTCCACTCGGCTATTCTTATCAGTCTGCCTGTCAACCAAATATGTTTCTAGTTTTACTATGAACAAAATAAAAAAAATAAAAGGAAGATTCTAGCCATCAATTGCTGATTCTTAGCTCCACATAGATCCCCTATAAAATTCAATGGGTTACATGGTTCAGTGTCTAAAGTTCATGAAAGACTGATTCTTTTTCTGAAGACGATCATCTAATTAAAGATTGACAAAGAATTCAGGGGCAGACATTAGGGAGACTGAAAATAGTGGTAGCCATAAGCCATATTGGAATACAATGGACCCTGATGTGCTGTCCAACCCTATAAATTGTTCTTAACATTGAGAATCCACAGGATCATCAACAATTATTGTACTCCAGAAAATCATGTCGCATGTCCGTACTGTGAACAGAGGGTGACCAAACTTGCTTAATTTCATTCACTTTAAAGATGTAACATGAGTTCAGAAGTTGTTTATGTAGGTTCATGACTTAAACTTCACCGGGACTTCAAAAAAGTGTTAATTTTTATCATAGAGTACGCATTACAATATCCATCATGTCATCCATCGGTTCAGAGTATCAACTGCACAATGCAATCAACCCTTAGGTATGATACTAAAGATCCTTGGTATTTGAGTTGTGAATTACTTGTGTGTGTAATTCACCTAGGAATGTTGATGGTACTTGTACTTTATACTCAATACAACATCCAGAATTTGATGGCCTTTATCATCCTTTATCTGGAGTAATATGCCTTTTCAACTATATGTAGAAAATTACGGTAAGAACGTTTCAGAAGTATGTCAACATCCAAGTTGCTACACTTCGGAAGAATGAAACTTGGATTTTTAGAAACTCTTCCTTTCGGGAATCATTCTGTCAATTGCAGATGTTGTTCATAGCAATGTTTCATCCTGCTAGCTCCGTACATATGATAGAACCTTAGCTTGCAGGTAACAGCTACTCAAGCCTATCACATTAATTATGAAAAGACTTCCTCTTCCATAGCCAACAGAGCTTCTATCAAGATCTTTATTGCTCTAGTTTATAAATAGCTTTCTTGAAAGGAAAGTGGTTATATGGATCAACTACTTGGTTCGGTTATTCATGGTGAGACTTTGAAAGTTTGTCAACTTCCAATTTTTCAAGTGATAATAGCTACCCATTCTTCTACGGATACCATACTGGTTGACGTTTATTCTGGTGGTAAGTGGATCTGTGGATGGCAATGTGATAAATGGAGATCATACATACTCAAGGTCAGTGCCCCTGGAAGGAAAATTCGTTTTATGGGTCCCATCCCAGATGGAAAGTTTTGGCCAGTTCCCCTCCCATAATTCCATTAATATATATCCTCGTTATGGTAAAGCCCTAAGCAAAAATTGATAAAACGAACTCGCTAGTACCAACGTGGACTAGGTATATTTGGACCAAACCACGTAAAATCCTTGCATGTGTGTTGTTTAAAATTGCCTTTGTCATGTCTCTGGCATGTAGCTCAGTTGGCAAAGGAATGGAGCAACTTTGCCCAAATACAAGATACCCCCCCCCCCCCAAATTAGCCGTTGAGTGAACCAAAAAATCACATTGGTGTCCTTAGAGGAGGGTTCCGTGTGGGGCCAGTTGGGGTTGCCGGTAATCAACTATTTGCCCAAATATAGTATTTGCCGTGATATTGCTCTTGTGTGTGAATCAAGCATCCCTATGGTTTTTTTTCCTTAGCAAGTGTGCATCTACGTACATACTCAAAATCAAGGACTGTTTGTATATATATACACACACACCGAGGGAGTTTCAAATGCAAACCATGTAACTGCTACGAACTCTACAAACCAATTTCAACCATACGTGTAGATAATCAACGGTGTGTATTAAATCGGTTCCTAAAATTAATTTCAACCGCATCTTTAACCGATTTGATAATCGCCTCTAATTCAAAAACAAGGGTTGAGATTAAGTTTGTAGGGTTTGTAACAATTACATGGTGGACATCGCCACTGAAGCACATTAGGCAGATACAAACATGGGCCAGATGATGCACTTATTTAATGTCACACTAAAATATATCGAATTGTCTCGCTAAGTCATGTGTTATACTCCATTGTAGCAAGTGCATAAAGTATGGAAGTGATTTGATGCCATATATGTGAGGAATATATGAAAAATAATAAAATGAACTGATACCTATTAGTAATAGTACCTGGAAGTCTCCCTTCTTCTGGACATTGTTCAGGTCCAGAGACATCAACTCGTCCATACTTCATAGGGATCTTGGGACCTCCAGCGTCCTGTGGTTACTAATTTTGCACAAGTAAAAATCAACGTTTAAAAATAGTTTTTATCGTAAATATTAATACAAGTGCCCTAAAATTGACCTCCACAGCTGTAGCACTAGCCAATTGGAACAAGTCCGCATAAGTAATGCCTGCATATTTGTCTTTGATAGGCTGGAGAAGCTTAAGTGCATTTACAAGCCCTGTAATGCCAACCAGTGAGAGAATATTGAAAGGAAAAAGAAAAGGGGAAATGAGAAGTAAAGAGCACTAAATGACTTGCCAGCATTGGCTGCATGTTTCTGTTCAACTTCAAACCTTAAACTGCCATTAGCTCCACCTCTTTGAGGCCACTCTTCAATATTCTTATTGTATGTACCAGCATCATGCCATCCTAGGCGTACCTATTGTCACATGAAGATACTCAAATGACATAAAACTGTTGATCAACTAAAATGTGATTACATGATTGTGTTCTAATATGAGCAGGAGCAAATGAAAAATACAATAATCAACTACTCGAAAATGCTATCCGAAACATGAAAACAGATATAGAACACCATGTTTTTGGATGAAAAGTGGAATAGAAGCAAATGGCTGAAATCAAACAATAACGAAAAGTCGAAAATATAACAAAATCAATCATCCAAAAGTTGTAGGCATACATGAGCTACAAAGCTCCTACTAGGCAGATGCAATACATCATTATGCAAGGATACATCTCATATCACCTTGTCTTGACTGTGTTAGTGGATTCTTTGTTCTATTATGGACTAACAAGGTCCTTAACCTTGTAACGAAAATTAACATTTTATCTACTTATTCAAGAGTTCTATCAGAACCCTCAGGAGGCTGGTCTACATGCACTTCATCTGGAAACAAGCCCACTTACCAATCAATTACTTAAGCTTATAGAAAGAGAGTTTCCCTTCCAAGTTACAAATGTGTATAGGTAACAAGCTGACTGCTCCAATAGTCAAATAGATGCAGAAAAATCAAAGATGCTTCAAGGAATGTGTGATACTGATTATTGACCTATCCTGTCTTATTGAACAAGAAATGCTTCCTGGAGAATATAATTGGTTCTATTCCTAAGGGTCATTTTCTGAACACAAACTCATTCCTGTAGTATTGGAAGTTTCACCAACATCCTGATGAAAGGGCGCTTGAATCAGGATTTAGGAAAGACTAAAATGACTAAAATAATCACATTCCAAGTGCTACAAGATGCAGCAAATATTCGGTTGTTTCTAGTATTGGAGTTGCTTCAGCAGTCTATAAACCTAAAAGGCCATCTCCACATTTATCCTCTCTATTTCACACCACTTGTCCAAAAGCAAGCTTGGCATCAAAAGAGGAAAGTGAATTAAAGTATGGGAAGGCTAGTGTAAGCACAATCAGGCAGGAAGACAAATTCATTTCAGTAAGTTCCAAGATCAAAAAACTAGGCCGTCAATTAATTCAATCGAACAATAATACAGGTATTGGTTTTCCTTTGCCTTTTTACCTGCTTAAAAAAGAGGATATATGCCTGGTTGATTTCATTCATGAACACCACACAAATTAAATCCAGTTCAATATTTACTAAATTGTAAGAAAAGGGTTTTTAAAATAACAAATCAGACGGTGAGACAACAATTTCACACATGATATTGCGCCATAAAGAAAAAAGCCTCCCCTCAAACTAGTGAACTTCAACTACAAATAGAACAATTCAGTATGGTACATTCTCTTTTTTCCATTATAGAACTTATATCACATTAATTCTCTTTTTTCCATTATAGAACTTATATCACATTAAGACGAAGGTGGAATGCAAGTAAACTTTTTTTACTCGACTTGATCATCAAGTCAGTCTAGGCTAGCCCATACAGTTGTCACTGATCCCCAATTAAATTCTTATCAAACAACAGACGGCAAATAGTAAACAGCAACACATATATACCCCTTTCGTTTTCCTCCTTTTTGTCTTTTTCAATAAGCAAATATAGGAACACCAAAGATAGACAAAAATTAAATAACCACACAGGTATGGTGTTGGTCAAGAGCTCCAAACTTATCAACCCCAAGCCATGGTGAAACAGCCCAGGTTATATGTACTACTCCACATCTTCCTAAAAACTACTATACTTTTCAAACGAACATACCTCTCAACTTCATAATGATATGGAATCTATTTGCACAAAATTTGCGAACTAGATTGAGCTTTACAGCCAGTGGTACAACCCCAACAATGTTGGTGGTAAATATTAGGTTAAAGTAAAATCATCAGAAAGAAAAAGAGGAAAAGCATAAGTATTAACCAAAATAGGATGACAGAAGGTAGTTTTCAGGACGTCTTTAATGTCTTCTCTAGCACTCTTGAGCTGGTCGGGGTCAGATGTAAAGCATTTTGTGGTGACCACTGTGCCAAAATTACCACTGGACGCATGAAGCTTCGATCGTTTCTGCAATAAAATGGAAATAATCAAAAGGGCATAAACATTTCTAATGAAATCTCGATGATTGGGAGAGATTGGAGCCAAACCTGATGAGATAATCTGAGACATTTGAGAGAAGCGGCAAAAGAAGAAGAGGAAGAGAGAGAGTGGACTGAGAGAGAAGAAGGTCTAGTTGTGGTAGTAGGAGAAAGTGAAAGGAGACGAGGAGTGGCGGAGGAGGTGGCGGTGCCACCGGAAAGAGCCATTGGTGAAGGTGTCAGCGGCAAACAGTTGGATGCCATTGGATGGTGATGAGCAGAAGTTGAGTGGGGGACCAATGGGGTTAAGGTTCAGCCAAGACCCAATCCTATCTTCAAGAGCCGTAATTGAAGCAGACAAATTAAATTTGAGTTCCATTGGACATGAAAGCAGTCAAATGGTGGGTTGTTGGGCGGTTGACTTTTGGTGTAAAATGATTAATTAGTAACCAGAATGGTAATCGTATAATGTAACGAGTTACATCTTGATTTTAATATTTTATTTTATTTATTATCTCATATAATATGGTGGTATGCGATATTGAGAAAGCGATGTTTTTTATTTTTGAATAAAATATAAATTTAAAGATATCATAAAATTTTAATAAAAATATATCGATATTGGTATCAAATTAACTATTTAAAATTTCTCAATTTTTTATGTAATTTTTTAAAAGTGTTTTATTATAATTTAATTTAAGTTCAATAACAAAGTATTTTATATTTAATTTAATAATTTAATTTTCTTATAAAGATAATAATAATTATTTTGTTAAAACTCGATCATTATTATAATTATATTTTAGATTTTTTTATATTTTAAAATGAGATGTTTATCCTCTATTTGATTATGTTTATCTGCATTTAGTTATACGAATTCAAACATTGAGCTTTAATAAGTTGTATTTATGTATAGTTTACTTGTAATCTTGAATTTTAAGTAATATGCATCAATATACAGTACTTCTTGCATAAAAAATGGTTTTTAAGAGTTTTTGTCAAATGCTTTATAATATAGAATAGATAATGATTAAGGGGGTGTTTGGTATTGTTTATTTTAAACAATTTATTTATTTTTTGTAAAAATGTTTATCAACTTATGTGGTGTCAAACCGGGGTTTTATGAAAAGTGTTTGGATTAGCTTATGACGGTACCAAAACGTAAAAACTGATAAGTTATTTTTTAGTGTTTTTGACAAATTTTGCTTATTCATGTAAAATGACTAAAAATAACATTCTTCCATATAACTACAAGATCTTCAAACCCCACCGTCAAACAGTAGCATATGCAATCGAGAACCATGAAAACAGTAGCATATGCAATCGAGAACCATGGAACAAGAAATCGAGAAGCATAGAAAGCAGATGCAAACATGAAATCTAAGAAATGTGGAAGGCGCATACAAGAAAACGAGAACCATGGAAACCAAAGAAGTTGAAACTGAAGAAGCTCAGAAATCGAAGACCATGGAACTCAAAACACCATGGAAGTTGCAATAAATGAACAGAGATCGTACCTAGAGAAATAAAAATTGAAAACCAAATTGAAGTTGGAAGCCATGAAGAACCCTGCGAAAGAAGTCATGCAACAAATCTCTTCGAAGATACCTGATAAGTTGATTTGGATCAAGCAGCTTCTGAATTACTAGGTTTAGGGTTACAGATTTGGATGTTCTTGGGCACTCATCTTGGGTTGTTTTGGATCCAATCGAGGAAAACAAATTATCATTGGTGGATATTATTAGGTTTAGGGTTAAAAAGGTAATTGGAATTTTCAAAGCTGATAAGTTGTTTTTAATAAGTTATAAGAGAGTAACTTATCAAAAACTTCTTATTACCGGTTTGACACCGGTATAAACATTACTTTTTCCCCCTTATTCAAACACTAAAAATGACTTATTACCGGTACCACACCAGAGCAAGTCAATTAACACTTTAAATAAACAATCCCAAACACCCCCTAAGGCACTATTATAATATGGTAAAAAAATAAAATATAGTTGTTCCAGAATGAAATTAGAACGTTGAATGGTTGAGGGAAACCTTATGATCATTCACAGGTTTTGGAACTATTAAAAGGCAGATATTTCTGAATAGTTTGGTGTAGTTATTAGTAGTTAATGGCCGTTAAGAAACTGTTACTGTGATTATGTATCTATATATAGTAGTTTTCTTTGTACGTAAATTGTTAATGGAAGCTCCATAGTTTCTTTGCACAACAATTCTTTCATGAATGCAGTAAGTTTCATGCATTAGTCTATTTTGTTTTCTACAACAAATTGGTATCAGAGCAAGGTTCTTGTTCTTGTAGAATTTAGTAGAAAACAAACGAGGATTCCATGGCCTCCAACAACAATAACCATTTGCAGCCTTTTCTCCCAAAGTTGAATGGGAGAAATTATCACCATTGGAGCATACAAATGAGGGTCTTGTACGAGTCTCAAGACCTGTAGAGCGTCGTTGAAAACAGGGTTAACGAACCAGTAAGTCAAACAAATCTCACACCGCAACAAGTCGCTGAATTACGTGATAATAGGAAGAAGGACAAAAAGGCTTTGTTCTTCATTTATCATGCAGTCGAAGAGGGCAATCTTTAAGAGGATCTCTATTTCTACTTCCTCCAAAGATGCTTGGGAAATGTTGTACAGAACCTACCGCGATGAAGATAAAGTTAAAACAATCTGCTTGCAAACATTGCGTTGTGAGTTTGACAACCTAAGGATGAGTGAAACCGACTCAATAGAGGATTTCTACAACCGTGTAATTGCCTTGACGAATCAGATGAGAATCAACGGCGAAGTTATTCAAGACACAAGGATTGTGGAAAATATCCTTAGGAGTTTAGTACGCAAGTTCGAATACATTGTAATTGCAATTAAAGAATCCAATGATCTGTCTAAATTATCTTTGGAAGTTCTTTTGGGAACACTTCAGTCCCATGAATTGCGTTTAAAACAATTTGATACACCCTCTACTGAACAAGCCTTTCAAACCCAAGTCACTAATAAGTTTGATGAAAAAGGTAAAGGGAAGAATTCACACAAAGGAAAAGGAATCCACGTTTATGCACGAGAAGGATAACAATGATACCATGTTTATGACTTGGGAAACCCAAGGAGATATCTGTGATCAAGTATGGTATGTGGACTCTGCGTGTAGCAACCATATGACAGGACAACGAAGTATGTTCGTCACTTTAGATGAATCCATTAGAAGCGAAGTGAGAACGGGTGATGAAAAGAAATATGTTGTTCAAGGATGTGGTGATATTCTTGTACAAACCAACAAAGAGCCGAAGAAGATTTTGCAAGTCTACTATGTTCCTGCCACTCAAGCATAATCTGCTTAGTGTAGGACAATTAATCTTTTAAAAAAAATGATGTTTGCTTTAATGAAGGGGTCTGTCATTAAAGATGCTGAAGGAATTATTCTTGGTAAATTGCTGATGACAACAAATAGGATGTTTCCAATCAAATTTCGGAAGGATCCATCATCCTCAATTAGTATGAATATCAAAGATGAAACTGATTTTTGGTATCAGTGATTTGGCCATCTAAGCCTCGGGTTATTATCTTATATGTGCAAGCAACACATGGCTCGTGGAAATGCCGAATATAGAGGAGAAACATCAAGTTTGTGATGGATGTTCATACGACAAGCGTGCCAGGAATTCCTTTCTCAATCAGAAGGCTTGGAGAGCCTCTAAACCATTTGAGCTTGTCCATTCGGACATTTGTGGATCCATGAAGACGACATCCCTTGGAGGTAATCGTTATTCACTAACTTTTATCGATGATTTTACCAGGAAAACCTGGGTGTATTTTTTGAAAGAGAAGTCGCAGGCATTTGAGTTCTGTAAGATATTTAAGGCCTACGTCGAAAAGCAAAGTGAATATGTTCTAAAGGCTCTAAGGACTGATAATGGGGGTGAGTTTAATTCGCATTAATTTGAATATTTTTGAAAGAGGCAGGAATTAAGCATCAAAATATAGTCCCATACACCCCTCAGCAAAACGGGGTTGCAGAGAGAAAGAATAGGACTGTTATGGAACTCGCAAGAAGTTTATTTAAACACAAAAACATGCCTCATATATTATGGGCAAAAGCGGTGGCTTGTGCGATTTATCTATTGAACCGTGCTTCAACTAGAAGTGTTAAGGGGATGACCCCTCAAGAAGCCTGGAGTGGTATGATGCCTTGTGTATCATACTTAAGAATTTTTGGTTGTGTCTTTCTCACATGATCCAAAAGAAAGGTGTGGCAAGTTAGATGACAAGTCCGAGAGGTGTGTCTTTGTTGGGTACAAAGAATCAGCCAAGGCGTACAAGTTGTATAATCCTCAAACTAACAAGGTGTTGGCTAGTAGAGACGTGTTGTTCATTGAAAATAAGGCTTGGAAATGGACAAATGAGCAAGATGGTATTCCAGTACCGATTTCAGATAAGATAGTGATCTACATCAGCAGGATGATCAAGACAATCACGAAGTCTCTAATGACAACACAAATGAGGTACATTATAGTCCAAGTACACAAGGTACACCCTCCTCTTCTAGTAGTCCCTCATCTCCTACTGATTCACCGAGTCAACACTTCGTAAGGTAAAAACTCTGGATGAAATATATGCAAGATCCCAAGAGATATTGTAGGATGAATTTGTTTATTTGGCACTCTTTGCCGATTCGGATCCAGTTTTTTTGAAACGACTGTAAAGAGTGCTAACTGGAAGAAAGCAGTGGACCAGGAAATCGGTTCCATAGTAAGGAATGATACATGGGAGTTAGTTGAACTGCCAAAAGGACATAGTCCCATTGGTGTGAAATGGGTATTTAAAACTAAACTTAAAGAAAATGGTGAAATAGAAAAGCATAAGGCACGTCTCGTAGTAAAGGGTTACAAGCAATGTTTTGGAGTTGATTATAATGAAGTTTTTGCCCCTGTGATAAGACTCGAGACCATTCATTTAGTCATTGCTTTGGCGGCCCAAAATGGATGGAGTCTACATCAAATGGACGTGAAATCTGCATTTTTGAATAGGCATCTCAAATAAGAGGTTTACATAGAACAACCTCAAGGTTATGTCAAGATAAATGAAGAACACACTTTATCGTTTAAAGAAAGAATTTTACAGATTAAAGCAAGCACCTCGTGCTTGGTACAGCCGTATAAAGGGTTATTTCATCAACAATGACTTCAGAAAGTGCCCATACGACCACACACTTTTTATTAAACAACGTAAAGGTGATCTTTTAATCGTGTGTTTGTATGTTGATGATCTAGTCTTCACAGGAAACTGTCATGGTTTGATTGAAGATTTCAAGAGATCTATGAAGTT